TCAATTATCAAATATCTAGCAAACTATTGTTATCAACAATTACATAAATTCTGTAGTTTATTAGGAGAGATTACTTTTTCTTTTAGGTATAAATTCAGAACTATATCCTAGGGGAAGGCTGAGCAGTAGCTTGCTTGTCTCTTCTTCTGCGCCGCCGCGCATGTGCTATTTACAGCCTAGGCCATCTCAGTAATATCAGGGAACTGTGGATAAGCTCTGTAAATATATATATATATATATAAACAATAATATAAACTTTGCAACAAATATCCAAACGATAAGCATACAGCTATAGTAGAATTTCAAAGCAAAATTGCTATTTTAAAAATCTTTCAATTTTCAATGATTTATTTATAAGAGAAATTGTGAACATTTTTCTCAATTAATCAGCGTGCATACTGCTACGTTAAAACATATACATTTAAGCAAAATAAAAAGAATAGTTCTATTTGACTGAACTACAAACAATAAAATATACTGTGCATAACCTGCTGTAACGATTCACCAGTAATGTTACCCAAAACAGTGACGAGAAATATTTCGGTTATTCTCTCTTATTGCTAAGCCTACAACGATAGCCTCTAAGAATATCCTCCAACTTAAATTATTTAAGATCAGGACGCGTCGTTAAAACAAAAATAATAAAATTTAAGTTTCAAAATTGAAGCATATTTGATTAAAAGTGATAAAACTAAATTAATAAATGTCAAGCACACTTACCGAATTTCGAATAGACTTTCGATTGTCAACACACACGCCATTTGCCGGCTCGCATGGAACTCTGGGAAGTGAGTTAGTTAATATGAAGTGTACTTTAAGCAACCTTAAAACAAGCTTAGGTATAAATAAAATGACTTCAACACCTCAATAAATACCTCACTCTCTTTAGTTGAAATAAGGTATATTTTTTTATACCTCATAAATACCTCAATATCGTTAGTAGAAAAAAGGTATATTTTTTATACCTCGTAATTACCTCACTCTCGTTAGTTGAAATAAGGTTGATTTTTTTATACCTCATAAATACCTCTTTTGTTACAAGTGTAAGAGAAACAACCTCGTATACCTTAAAAATCATCTTATCAGTCTGGATGATTTGAAGTGAATTTAAAACAACCTCAAAATAAGCTTAGGTATAAATAAAATGACTTCATATACCTCAATAAATACCTTTTTATCGTTAGTTGAAATAAGGTAAAAATTTTTATACCTCAAAAATACCTCTTTTGTTACAAGTGTAAGAAAATAAACCTGGTATACCTTAAAAATCTCCTTATCAGTCTGGTTGATTTGAAGTGAATTTTAAACAACCTCAAAACAAGCTGAAGTATATATAAATCAACCTCGTACACCTTAATTACAACCTTTACGAGGTATAATTTTTATTGCTGTTTTCTCTGCAACCTTAAATATACCTCAAATATACCTCAAAACAACCTTAATACCTCAAAAATACCTCAAATCAACCTTAAATATACCTTAAATTTTCATAAGGGTATTGAAATGAAGTGGGAGTGAATGTGTGTGTGAAATGTCTAACTATGGGGTTAATATAATTATGGAACTTCCAGGTAAGTATAAGGCCGACCTCGAAACTTTCAGTAGTAACTAATAATTATTTTTCAACTTTTCCTTATTTCCCATCAAACAAGTTTTAATGTTTTCAGTCCAGCCTCAGCAATGATTCATACCATCTCAATATAATTTTTTCCTACATTAAATATTAACTTATGGTTACAAAATTCAACAATTATTATTCGTATTCAACCCCTATTGTAAATAAAATTTTAACTTTTGCGAAAAGTAATAAAAATGTATATTAAAGGACCTTTTATATATTACCAAAAAACCTAAAAGAAAAAGGAGTTTAGTAATTTGCTTAGTTTTACAGGCAAGAGGGAGAAGGGTATGAGTAATGCTTACGTTAAATCCTAAATTTCACTTATTTTTTATTGCTTTTAAAGGCAAAGAAATTTAAGTAAAAAATAATTGATTTATGTAAAGAAAAAGCTCTGAAAAACTTCTTCAAAAAGTTCTATAATTTCTCAGCATGAATTAAAAAGTAATTTTCTTTTTTGCTCATTTTATTTGAATTTAGTCCTGAAACTCTTTAGATAAGATTGCTAATGCGAAAGGGATTGCAAATTTCTTGTCTAAACGTAGGTTTGTTTATTTAAGAAGACGGAGGAATGCCCAAAAATAAGCTAATGTAATATTTTGGCATCCACTAAACATTATTTATATAGCCTGGTCAAATGAGACTTTTGGATTTCTAGAAAACTAGAAATGATTTTACTTCGCATCCCAAATAAGAATGATATTCCGACGGTTTTTGGAATGAGCTAAACTTTTTAAAACAAAAAAAATGCTAAATTTATAACATTTTTTTTTTGTTTTGCTACATAGCATCTAAAAACACACATTATTTAATAATTCACAAAATTAAACATCAATAAATTCCGCATCGATTGATATACTTAAACATTAGTTTCGGTTTAGCAGTTTTGGCAAAATCAGTAATCGAAACTGAGTGAAATTTTTCGCTTCGTCTAAAAAGAAAAACGTTACGCTCACTTTCTAACTCCCTTCAACCAAAAATGTCCAACCAAATAAAAAGTGTTTGGTATGAAAGTTCTAGAGCATCATCAGATTCTGTATCAAGTTTTGAAATTTTGCTCATTTTTACGCTTTAAAACAAGCAAGAAAACAATAATGATATCAGTTCTTTTTTTTTTTTCGCCTATAGTAAAAGGAATGGAATTTTTTTTCTTCCTAATGGAGGAGGTGTTCGTGGGTGGAGCAAAAGAAGGGCCACCCTAATTAGTACTTTTTTTTCACATCGATATTATAGTTTAATGGTTTATTTCTAGCTCTCACATAGATTGGATTCAATTTATTATTTGCACATTATTATTTTAGATGATACCTATTGCTCATACGAAAATAGCAATGAATAACAAGAAACCCACTTCAATATAAAAATATTAAAAGTTTAAGCAAGAAGTAGTTTTTAGTAACAGAAGATGGTCTAGTAATGTTTATTGGAAAGAATTTTCATTACAAGTATTCTGATTACTTTGGAATTCAGGACTTTGGAATATAGGAGTTCTAACTTAAAAATTATATTATTAGAAATTTTTATTACAGACATTCTGATTACTTTATAATATAGAAGTTCTAATTTAAAAATTATGTTAAGAATATTCATTACAGATTGCTTTGGAACATAGGCGTTCTAATATTAAAAAATTGTAAGCGTATTAGGGAGGTTTGTTTATTTTAAAAGAGGGGGAATGCTAAAAAATATGCTTATGTAATCTTTGGACGTCCACTAAATATGTTCATTATGTAAAATATTATTTATATAGCCCGGTCGAATTAGACTTTTGGAATCCTCAATATAAACACATTTTTTTTAATACCCGTCGTTGAACAATCGACCCAATGTCTGGGGTTTCGACTACTCGTGATCAACTCCGTAGCCTTGCCATTTTGAACCAATCCGGAAGACAAGGAAGCTCCTGAATCAGTACCCCAAGATGTATGATTTGTTATGGGAACATGGAGGACTTTGCGACACGACAGATTTAACGTGCATCAGTCACCATTTGCTACACGGAAATCATTGACCGGTGGAGATCGAATCTACGAGCTTTCGGACATGAGAACAGTGCCCTACTCCCCTGACAGGCCAATATAAACATATTAAAAGTTACAGAAAAAAGGTTTCATTTTTAATAACATAAGGGTTACTACTTCCAATTGATTTACGCCAAAACTTGAAAAAGCGTTTCCTCCGATTTTATTAAACTAATAGTATTTACAATATAACGCATTCTTTCAATTTAAATTTCAAAGAAAGAAACAACAAATTTATGCGGAATACTTGGCAAGCATGCAACCCAAAAAAATATCAAGTATTTTACACTAATGTAGCCGCTCAAAACATGTTCTTTATTTATGTTTTGATATTAATTGTCTTAAATTTGTTTTAGGCTCCCAATCAGTTAGAATTTGTAAATAGCTCTTATGAATGGTAATCCAGCCTATAATACAACTTGCTTCTCACACTTCGCCTCGTAAGTATTACAATAAGTGGTGGAGGAACCAGCTTCCAGTTTTAGGAAGCTTATTATTGTAGAAGTTTAGTCAATCATCCTCAGAAGAAGCTGTCGTACCTTAGTTGATATCAAACTTGCCTATTTGAAATAAACCTTCGTCTTTTGAAAGAGACGAATTAAAAGAAGCTTCGTTGTACATAAAACCTGCATCAGAAACCTCTCTAAGCATAGTTTTAGAATCATTGAAAACGTTCCTTTGAAGGATGGTGATCTTCTGGAAAAATTGACACATTTTTAGTTTACCTTACCTAAAAAATGCAGAAGTTCTATTAAAGCCACTGAAGGAGCGTATGAAAAAACTATCCTCATTTGCACGTTCGCTTACATTATGGAAAACAAATAGTGTGCTCTGTAACAAAAAAGCACCGTTTATGAAGAAACACAGAGCCGGATGAAGAGGGTGCCATACCAAGGAAAAAAATTTCGTCACAAATTCTCTTTTTCCCTCATTTAAAATTTGAAAGAAAGAAAAAGTAATTCATGCAAACCTAGAGAAAGTCATGAAGCTTCAATTGCTGCAAAAAAATACTCCAAAATCTTAAAATGCAAACAAATTACTGGAAGAGAACTTCTCCGTTGCGAAATCTTAAGTTATCATATCTCATAATTATTTTCATTAGTGTATTTTAAACTTTTCTTCTCAGTATTGGAAACGAGATAGCTTACTCACTTTTTCTACACTTTAAATTAGTAATGAAGGAGAAAAAGAGTGTGAGACGAAAATTTTCTTCCGTATTATTCTTGTCTGGAATGCCTAAAGTGAAATAAAATTGTGTCCAGCTTTCTGGGATTGAGTTCAAAAGACGGCGGCTTTTCAATCCAATTTCACTAGGCTATCATCAGTTATGATCAGAAATATTATAATAGAATACAACTTACATTGAAACTAACGTAAGCATTCCAAACCACTATGGAAATATTGAATGCGATTAAAAGTGAATTGAGTCTTAATGGTTTGAATGGTTTCATGAGGAGTGGTCCGAGCCATTTAACAAATAGAAGGTATAACAGGACGACGGAAAGAGGAAAGTGTATGCTCCCCACACGCTCCATATTCTCTGGATCTGAAAAAACAAAAATCAAACCATAAGACAACTTAAAAGCTCTTGAGTTCACCCTATCTGCCCCTAAAATATGAGGACCCTCTGTGGTACTAACTCGGAGAGTCCTTAGGCATATATTAAATATGATATTGTTACCATCGAACTGCTCAAGATGGATGAAGACTTTCCACCAGGCCATAGAAATTGAATAACAGGTTTCCAACATAGCTGAAGTGAACGTTGGCAGTGAACTGGCAACGTAATCTGCTTTCCAGTTCGTCCCAAAGGTGTTCTCTCGGATTTAGATCTGGTCTCTGAGAAGGCCAGTTTAGTTTTTAAGTTCCAACTTAGAAACACAAAAAATGGTGGCAAAAGTCTGAAAGTTTAAGTGGAGTAAGAAAGATGGGCCTGTCTCGATAGAGTGTCATAAAGTAATTAGAGCAGATGTGTTCATGTTCCCAACCACAGGAAATAATTTACCAAACGATGAAAATCACCCCCACACTGTGATGGTGGTGCCCAGATAATTTCGGCCAGATCTTGGATACAACACGGCATCAAGAGCTTCAGATTATTTTTCATTTCACATTTCTTCTAATTTTTTGAAAGAAAATGAATAAATGAGGAACAATTGCCGAGACTCCTTCTTGAAACATCTCTACTTCTTTCTAAATAAAATTAATTAAAAAGTTGAATTGAGAGCAAACCGCAAAGAACAAAAAGTTTTTTTCTGTTACTTGAATGCAGAATTAACTGAATACGGATTTAAGCCACGTTTTTAACATCCTTGTATGAAATTCAACATAAATTTAAACAACATAAAATTTTTATGTATCATTTTGGAACCTTATAATTGCAAATTTTGCTATGTGTATGTAATTTTAAACAAACTTTTTGCAAAAATCTTTTTCTGACTACGTTGAGATCCGGACACATTTGAATTTCTGAAGACGGGGCAGCAGATTCACTCCTTAAATTCTGCTGGGCGGGTATATATGCAACTAATACATTGAACCATACATTTACGTCAATGAAACTTCATACATAGTGAAAACTATACTATGCGTTTCATAAAATAATTTCAACCTTATAAATTAATACAGTTGGAAAATGATTTTTAAATTTAAAATCTTCAAAATAGTTTACTTTTTTGTAAAACAAAATATTTATTTAGTGACTCGTATTAATACCGCAAAGAAACAAAGCAGTTTATAGATATTATGTAGTTTACAAACATTCCCTGGCGCAGAAAAATAGTAGCCAGGACATTTTATCATTTTTTAGCGTTCTTCTACTTTTAGGTCTGACACTTTTACTTTGCATCATTAAGAACAAGGTTATTTCTAAAAAACAGTTCAGAGATAATAATATTGTTTACGTTTTTAATCATTTAGAGAAAACAGGAAGCTATTTTCTTCTTAAAATCTCTTTTAAATGAATTTTTCTCTGCAACTCTCTTCCTGCTAAAAGAATAATTTCAAGAACACGATTTAATAATCATACACGTAAACATAAATGATTCACACGTAGGTAATAAGGAAATGAAAATAAGTGGCCGTGAAAATAACATATTTTTGTGTGTCATACAAATTAGTGTCAGAAAGACTCATTTTTGTTACATTATTTCGGAAATCATTCCCTGTGCAGTAAAAACTTAAATAGAGAAAACTCTACATACAGTTTTGAAACAAAGTATTCAATTGAATTTAATAATTTAATTAGGATTTAATTTTGCTTGGAAATGACATTTTATACTCAACATGCATGTTCAATTGTTAAATTCCACTGTAAAATCATCACTAAAAGGCTAATAATGATGGCCTTCATCAAACTTTAAAAATCATTTTATTGTATGATATTAGAGGCGTTTACAGTTTATTGTCTTATTATTTGGTGAGATAATAAGACAATTAACCCATATAGTTAAAATAGCACCATCCTACAAACCTATATTTATGACTTACCATCGTTGAAAAGAATGTCCCGAATGGCACGATAGCTCTCCCCAATGATATACGCCATTTCATTCAACAATTTTCTTTACAATTTCATGTCTGAAAAATTAAGTCAAAAACTGATTTTTAATGTGTTGAATAGCAATGGAAATTAATTAATAAAACCATTATCATGCATCATTATTCCAATCATTAGAAAAATCATCATAAGAAAATTTTCCTCGAAGTTTTTCTTTTGAAGGATTATGATAAAGACATCAATTAACTTTTGCACGAAACCTTTTTTGTTAATTAGAAAGGAAAAATAAGGAAACTAGCATTTCTGCACAATTTAATCGTATTCATTCCAACCACTTGTAAAAATTCTGTTCTTTTCCGCCTAATTCTAAATTCACAAGAATTTAAATTATGCATCATATGAAGCAAACTATTAAACAGCATTACTTAAAGGGAGGAGAATAACGGTAACATTTATATAAATTTATGAAACGAACAGTCTAATTTATTTTAGAAATAAGAAGTTATTTTACTTCATAATGAAAAAGTGAAAAAAAAACATGTTTTTAGTGTTTAAAACATAAGGTTCCTCTACTTAAATGATGAAACAGGAAAAGGAACAGTTGCTATCAAAAAACGAAAGCAAAAAATTTATGATCTGGTTTATAGTCTCAATTCCTCTCCGACCCTGAATTGCCCATAGAAAGTCAATCTGGCCTGATTTGTCTCTTTTGGCTATTCGGTTTTTTTCTATCATCAATTATTTCTATGAATTTTTTTACTGGTAACAAAGCAATTTCTTGCTTTCAATCTGTTTCTGAGTTTTCATCATTCAAGTGTGGCCCTAACTGTGTTTGAGTCCTCAAAACATACCGATGTTTTTTATATTTTCTTTTTCGAAATTTTTACTATGAAGAAAAAGAATTTTGAAATATTTAATTTTTGGAATGCTTCTTTCATATACATTTTAAAGGGTATAGTTTAATCTGAACACCTCCAACAGAAAAAACTTACACCAGGCTCAAACGCATATCCATCGTTCATGAAATATTTTAGCCCCTGCAACCATTTACAATATCATGACAAAATTGCTTACAATCAGAGTTGGCCGTTGATTACAGTAATCGATTACAACTGTAATTGATTACAGATAATTACAGCTATGTAATCAATTACTTGTAATCACGATTACAAGTAATCAATTACTTGTAATCGTGATTACAACTTTCAAAAAATTTTGATTACAGCTGTAATCATGATTACAATTTTGATTACAATAATCAATTACTTGTAATCATGATTCCAAGTAATTGCGATTACAAGTAATCGCAACGAAAACGATTACGAGTAATTATGATTACATGTAATCATGATTACGCTATATGCACAATGTACGCATGTACATACAACGTATACATGTACATAATTACAAGTAATGTACAAATACATGCGTACATTTAAATATATGTAATTACAATATACACATACATTGTGCATACATTAAAAAATTTATATGAATAAAGTTATTAAAATTTGTTATAAAATTCATTCTAAGGCATATGAAACTCGACCTCATATTTTTTAGAAAGCAAACGATAATTTTATTTCGAATTTCTAAATATTAATTCCACACATAAAATTTACCGTTTTTCTTACCATTTAAACAATTTCTATGAATNTCCACCCTTGGCCCGAAAGCCAATAATCATGCCCTTTTGGACGTCGGATAAATCGCTACATTTCTGCATTGCGCCAACGACTGAAATGCTTTTCGATGCCCTAGGACATCCAATATATACACTACACTGTAATGTGCTGCCACCTACACTCTGCGATTGGTTATTTCACTTTGACGTCGAACGTAGGTGGTGGTCACATTAATGTGACTGGACTGTGTATTTTTGCCTCTGCAAACATTTACAATATCATGACAAAATTGTCTACAATCGAGTGAGAGATGGCATGAGTCCGTTTTTGTCTTCTATGAATTCCTTTTTAAATACTGAATTTTGCCGCTTAAAAATGCAACATGTTTTTAGTTATGCAATAAGGATAATTTTATTCAAGTTTTAAAATAGCTGTCAACTGTTTTATATATTTTACGTCTGCTTCTGTTTAGTTAAGCCCAATTCTTAGCCTGAGCTCTATGCTGTGCGCAGGTTTGATTTACAAACTAATTTTATTTTAAGAATCAGTGAATGTATGCATTTTAAACCAACTGTTCATACTTTAAATTGAATCATAAAAAATAAAAATAAATTAAAATAAAAAAATCCTGACTCGTAAGTGTATCCTATCTTATTTTAATTATACATTTCAGTAAAACTGAACACAGTGGCTTACATAGACTTAGATATGCCTGCCTGCAAGAATTACAAATGTACCCTATCTTTGACTTTACACAATATTTTTAAAATGATGATAAAAGACAAGAACACTTTGAAAAGACATTCGGGATTGTTGAGATGTCAAAATTGTTGCGATTTTCCAAACTTTGGAAATTCGTAATGATAACCACCGAAAAAAGTGATCAAAAGACTACATTGATTTAGATTTCGCACGCTCAAAAACTTAAATGAGCAAGTCAAACTTTCTGATTTTTTCTTTTTTTCTTTTTTTTTTTTGCAAAAAGAAAAAAAAAACTATAATAATTTTTATTATTATTATTATTATTATTATTATTATTATTATTATGCTCAGGTGCTACCGCGGGCCGAATGTTGAGCACCCCTACATGTAATGTACTATTTCTGAATCGAGCGCTCTCAAACCTGTGTGCGGAGGTGTTATTTGCGCCACTGGCTGAACACCAGAAAGGGAGGTCGTCTACTAAACTACTTATTTTAGTTTTTTTCTATACTGAGAACAGCACTAAATTATCTATCAAGAATTTTTATAGTAAACTTGTCAGATGAGAAGATGAAAGGTAATATAAATTTTAATTAATTAATTTTGTAATGCTCTAAATTTTAATCAGTAAATTCCCAGCGTGAAGGTGGAGGAGCCACTTAACTGTTTCCCTCATAAGTAATGTGATCTCCACAGCAAGGTTCTATTACTTATCTGTTTTCTTTTTATTTTATTTTATTATTTTTTTTATACTCAAATTATATTCAAAGCGAAAAAAAGAGCACTTAATAAGGACGCCTTATGATCGGTAAACAACTAGCTTAGCTACGTCACTAGATTAAATTTTGATTAGTTGTCCATTCCTTAAACATTTTGACTTTTATTAGTTTAAGCTTTTTTTTAATTTTTTATCTAACTAAGTTCTTTTTGTGTTCTGAATTTTTCCATGCCAATTTTTAAATACAAAAGAAGTTGATGACTACCAAAAAGACAATTGAAATGTACAGTGAGCAAAAAAATAAACGGACTACCCCGAATAACTTTTGATATAATGATTGGATCTTTACATTCTGGAACTCCACCTTAACCCTTTCGCGCCGACTGTCACAAATACGTGCCAGCATAAAACCGTATCAATCAGGGTAAAAAGATAAAATTGGTAACCAAAGTAGAGTTCTTTAGCAGTTTATTTGTGGGTGGGGTTATAATTGTTTGATTCATTTAATTCTCCATTACTTTAGTTTAAAATAAAATTATTTAGTTATACCTTGAACTAACATTGATTATATATATGATTAAACTAACAATAAAGTGAAAGCAAAGTAAGTCTGTCAAATTAGCAACGCCTACATTTAAGCTACAGTTTTTTATTTATTTACATCCTGATACTGATTTTGTACGAATGCTTTTATGAATCACCCGTCCAGAAGGGGTCTGAGGTGGTGATTTCAAATATGCTAATTAATTAATGCAGGCGATATTTTAAATTACGAAATCAGACACAAAAGCATACTTTCTCTGAATATACATACCATTTTTTCGACATATTCCGATGTCTGATTCCCAAAATATAGGCAATTTTAAATTAGGGTCACCATAGTTTGATCAGGAGAGCGGTTCTAATTTGGGACTCCTTACTGTTAATTTTACTTTTTGCGTATTTCTCCCTATTTCGAGAAAATTTTAAGCAAATCAGAAACTTTTTTTGTACAGTTATAAAATTAGTTTATTCAAAAATAATTTCACCTAAGAAATAACTTTTAGTAAGTATTTATTTTTTTTAATTAATTTATTTAATAATGGTCGAAAAAATTTTGATTTGTAAGGTATACAATTTTTTACATTATTTTAAAGAAAGTAATTTAATATGCAGAAATACAAAATTTGAACGAAATCGATTGAATAGTTTCTGAGAAATCGAATTTTTAATATACGATTTTTTTCAAAATTTGAATTCTCAGGAACTATTCGTACGATTTTAATTAAATTATGTATTTTGCTATGTAAAATTAAGTTCTTTAAAATGATGTAAGAAATTGTATGCCTTACAATTCAAAAGTTTTTCAACCATTATTAAATAAATGAATAAAGAATAATAAATTTTTACTAAAATTTATTTCTTACGTGAAATTATTTTTAGATAAATAATTTTTCTAATTGTCTGTAGAAAATTTTTAATTCATTTAAAAAATTTCGAGACATAGCGAAATATGAAAAAAGTAAAATTAGAGGGTCTAAACTGATATCCTGACCCACTATGGGCACCCTATTTCCCAGATTGCAGCTACATATTTTGGGTGTCAGGAATAGGAAACATCCTCAGTAGATATATTAACGACGATCATTCATTATATTGGGTGATGTTTTTTATTTATATTGTACTTCTAACTGTAATAAAAGAAGTCATTCCAATCCATACGGAAATTTGTTTCTTCTAAAAGCTACGTTACAGTAATCAACATTAATCATTGCAAAATGTTCTGATTTTGATTCCTTTTTGGTAATACTTTTTATTATCATTTTATCCATTTTTATACGAGATCTTCATGCATATAATAAACTAGAAGATTCATATTAAAAGTTTGTTTCATTTTTGCTGTATTTTGAAATTCTTTCAGGATATTATGTATCATTATTAAATTTGAAGGATGTGTACTATCGGGTCCCATTGTGGCTATGTTTTGAGGATAAGAAATCGAAATCCATCGAAAAAAAGGTATTCGAAGTACGATTTTGTGCTTGATTTCGTCATT